GATCCTAGATTTTGGTAATTATATAAACAAATATGGTTGGCGATGAGTGAGGACCTTAGTGTGGGCGTGGGTGTGGACCTGGGTGTGGGCGTTGGCTTGGGCGTGGGCGTGGGCGTGGATGAGGGTGTGGATGTGAGTGTGAGTGTGGGTTTAAGTATTGGTGTGGGTGGGTGTGAGTATAGGCGTGGGGTTGAGAGTGAGTGTGAGTATGGGTGTGGGTGTGGGTGTGGGTGTGGGTGTGGGTGTGGGTGTGGGTGTGGGTGTGGATGTATATGTGGATGTGAGTGTGAGTGTGAGTGTGAGTGTGGGTTTAAGTATTGGTGTGGGTGGGTGTGAGTATAGGCGTGGGGTTGAGTGTGGGTGTGAGTATGGGTGAGGGTGTGGGTGTGGGTGTGGATGTGGATGTGGATGTGGATGTGAGTGTGAGTGTGGGTTTACGTATTGGTGTGGGTGGGTGTGAGTATAGGCGTGGGGTTGAGAGTGGGTGTGAGTATGGGTGAGGGTGTGGATGTGGGTGTGGATGTGGATGTGAGTGTAAGTGTGAGTGTGGGTTTAAGTATTGGTGTGGGTGGGTGTGAGTATAGGCGTGGGGTTGAGTGTGGGTGTGAGTATGGGTGAGGGTGTGGATGTGAGTGTGGGTTAGAGTATTGGTGTAGGTGGGTGTGAGCATAGGTGTGGGGTTTAGCGTGGGTATGAGTATGGGTGAGGGTGTGGATGTGAGTGTTAGTGTGGGTTTAAGTATTGGTGTGGGTGGGTGTGAGTATAGGCGTCGGGTTGAGTGTGGGTGTGGGTATGGGTGAGGGTGTGGATGTGAGTGTGGGTTTAAGTATGGGTGTGAGTATAGGCGTGGGGTTGAGTGTGGGTATGAGTATGGGTGAGGGTGTGGATGTGGATGTGAGCGTGAGTGTGGGTTAGAGGATTGGTGTGGGTGGGTGTGAGTATAGGCGTAGGGATGAGTGTGGGTGTGAGTATGGGTGAGGATGTGGATGTGAGTGTTAGTGTGGGCTAAAGTATTGGTGTGGGTGGGTGTGAGTATAGACGTGGGGTTGAGAGTGGGTGTGAGTATGGGTGAGGGTGTGGATGTGGGTGTGGGCGTGGATGTGGATGTGGATGTGAGTGTGGGTTAGAGTATTGGTGTGGGTGGGTGTGAGTATAGGCGTCGGGTTGAGTGTGGGTGTGAGTATGGGTGAGGGTGTGGATGTGGATGTGAGTGTGGGTTTAAGTATGGGTGTGAGTATAGGCGTGGGGTTGAGTGTGGGTGTGAGTATGGGTGAGGGTGTGGATGTGGATGTGAGTGTGGGTTTATGTATTGGTGTGGGTTGGTGTGAATATAGGCGTGGGGTTGAGTGTGGGTGTGAGTATGGGTGAGGGGGTGGATGTAGATATGAGTGTTAGTGTGGGTTTAAGTATGGGTGTGGGTGTGCGTATAGGCGTGGGGTTGATTGTGGGTGTGAGTGCTGTCCCCAAGGTGAGGAAAGAGGTGTTAGGGTGAGGGGAAAGCTGTGCAGAGTTGCGTCCCTTGGGCACGCCAGAAACCTATGTTTGTGGGTCCGATTATGCTACTAGGTTTGTCAGCACCATACCCGTGCTCGTGGGTTTCACCGAAGTGGTAAACGTCTGAGACCTGCATCACGTCGGGCTTTCCTCCCACATTAAGCTGACACGCTGTGTAGAACTGGAATACTGCTAAAAGCGGCGTTAAACCCAACTCACTCACTCACTCACTCACTCTTCCACCTAACCAATGCTCAACTTCGCTTCCCGTGAAGATCTGGCTTGGGACTGATCTTCTGCAACCGTTGTTGTCGTAAGAGGTGAGTAACGGGATCTAGCTCGCTGACTTAGTTGATGCATGTCATCGTATCCCATTATAATGAAGACCGGATTGTTTTGTCCAGACTCCAGATTATTTACAGACCGCCGTCATGGAGCTGGAATATCGTTGAGGGCGGCGTTAAACAACAAACAAACAAACAAAAGCAAAACAAGCTTAACTTAACCTGATTTATGACCTGTGAACGGCACACTCTTTCACGTGCCTTTATTCGAAATTTTGACTGGAATAGTCCAGCTGTTGGTACTTAACTGTCGCCACCTCTAAAATTACGGATTCGATCCCCTTACTGCACACCTTGTGTGACTATCATTCTCGTTGACCGTCGGATCTTATTACTAAGATAACAAATAACGACTTAAATCAATTTCCATACACCTAGTTTGCAGGAGTAGAGATGACTGACACTTGATGACATGTTATTAAAGAACATCTGCGAATTAACTATGAAATAACAGTTTTAGAACGGCGAGTGGCTTTAATGGGACAACCATCCTGTTAATTGTATTACCTGGCGCACACGTTAATGTGGCCATAATATTCATTGTTTTTAGAGCTGTTATATTTCCAAACATTAATAATGCAAATTGCTGGATATATGATTCGTTTGGTAATTAAAACATGTAGTCTTGCATGTCACAACCTCCACTTAATGACAAGGCGTTCGGCAAACACCGACGTCAGCATTTCAACGGCGTATCACGTGTATGAAATGTCTCGTGTAACAAATATTAGGACTGGCCGTGCGCTCGAAACGAAATAACCTAGCGGGAAATCTTTAATGCTTGGGCTTAGCTCAAACGATCGCAGAGGCTGCGTAATGTAAACATGTTTCAAAATTGGCTGAATGTCTTTGTGGAGATATGGTCTAGTGATCTGTGTGTGCAGGGAACACTGTCAGAACCTGCTCAGAGTGATCGAGTGTTATTGAAGAGATTAGGACAGCAGTGATCCATACGGGGTAATGCAAGGAGCGCGTGTTACACCTCTTTTATTGACGAATGATGCCTTGGAAAAACGTCAAAGAAAATATTGAAAATTAAAAATGTCTTGAGTAGGATTGGAAAATAATGAGAACTGAGGTAAAGGACAGAATTGGTGGATTACTGTTGGTATAAATATATAATAATTATTAATGTTTTAAACACCGTCGGTGTGTAATGGTGAGACAAAATATTTTTTTCTGTTTTTTTTGTGCTCATGGAAATGTGTGCTGCTTTTAACAGCAAATACAAGTTGTAGGTATTCCAAAAACAAAGTGAGTTTCGTAATTTGATGTAAATTATATAATGATTTGATTGTAACGTCTTCGTCAGTTTTTAACGAAAATAAGACTATGGTATATGGAAAAAAACGTTTATTGGTGGTATTATTAATAATCGATTTAAATCAAAAGGAGAATGATAATCATTAATAGGCAATCCAAACTACCCGGGGCGGTCGGGTAGCCTAGTGGTTAAAGCGTTCGCTCGTCACACCGAAGACCTGGGTTCGATTCCCGACATGGGTACAATGTGTGAAGCCCATTTCTGGTGTCCCCCGCCGTGATATTGCTGGAATATTGCTAAAAGCGGCGTAAAACCATACTCACTCACTCACTCACTCAAAACTACCCGTGGGGGTTTCCGAGTAAGAATATAGGTCCCCAACAAACTATGAGGGACAAAAAAGGATCGGGTGGTCAATTTCCTCACCATCAACATCCACCATACACAAAACATAACATCTGTCAACCGGTTTCTATATCTATTCAATCCGTAAATGATTCATTTGAAACGCAACTTTTAAAACTTCAACTATGAACGAGATTTCCTATATAAATATATATAACACAAGCCGTTTCGATATTTCACTAGCCCATCATTTCAAATGACATTATCAACGACTAGTATCAACGGATAGATGATATGCGCGCAAGTACATACTTTATGACAAGTCACTTTTTCTGGGGAAATAATTATGCGAATATGCAATGTAAATCATTTCAACTCCGACAACATTTCGCTGAGATCATATCAAGTTACATGCTGGGAAACGAAACAAAGAACATATGGTCATAGTTAAATGGTGAACAAGCACAGATGATCATGATTTCAGCTGTATGTCAAATTCGCTCTCACACGAAATTGAGAGCAAATAAAAAAGTCTCAATTTCATTTCCATATATGTTTTAAATCGATTCTAAGTTACCATCGCTTGATGGCAGGTGAGCATATGTCACACATGTCTAACCCTTGGGGAATATATGTAGAATAATTTATTGGATGATCAGAATTTAAAATTCACAATATCTACATATATGTTTTTACTTGAAACATATTTCGCATAGCATTTAAATTCATGAGAGACTTAGATATAGTATAAAATATATCTGCAGTTGTGGTGATCACGATTGTGTTGACAGTATTATTGTTAACCGTTATTGGTGTTTGCGTTCGTTCGGCAGATGGGATACAGATGCTCAATGATCTCGAATAACATAAATCTATAAACGATAGCGAAAATATTGCTAAAAGCGGCGTAAAATAAAACTCACTCACTCACACTCACGGGGCCAAAGGCAAACAAATATAAGTACAAGCGAACACGTTTAGTACACCAGTAACACTTATAATCAACGAATAGGTTCGAATGAGTGAGTGAGTTGGGTTTATGTCCGCTTTGAACTGTTAGTGTATTCCAGTTATATCACAGCGTGTCAACTTAATGTGGGAAAAAAAAATTGGATGCAGGTCTCAGATGTTTATCACTTTCGCGAAGGCACGAACACACGTATGGTGCTCACACACATAGCCCTGTTAAATACAATGAGATTTGATTGTACTCTTAGATATGAGCGAGGTAACTGGGTTCGATGCCGAACAGGTACACCAGCTGTGCGGTCTTATTGAAAACAACACGTCCATGTGGAAAGACGTAAAACCTAATTCATTAAGTCCTCGAACATGTTCATCAACCATGGACGAGATGTGCTGATGGTTGTATAATGTCCTTTTCAAAACTGCCTCGGGGATATATTCTCTTTCAATTCGATTTTTTTTAATATTAAATATAATGGCGTACAATATGTTACAATGTTGACACGAAGTCGTCACAGCGAATGAAGCCACTCATTTTCGGAGTTGTTAGAATCCAGAGCTGCATAAGCAGAAAAGAATTAAACACGTTTTCACGGCTTGACATATAAACTGTTTATTCAAACTGACAAAAAATTAGAATGAGTGAATTTTCAGTTTAATCAACGCCAGAGGCATACGACGACGCCAATGGTGGGGATGGATCACGTGACCTGGGTCTAACACTTTGGCACATTGTGCAGGGTATCACGTGACGTGTATCAACAGTTGTATATAATGTATATATGTTCAACAAAGTAGAAATAGTTTGTGATTTTATATATAAGATTCTTAAAATGACACCTCTTGTAGGTTGAGCATTAGTCTATATATATCATCTATTCGCATGGCATTAAGATATGAAGAAAACCATGTTGTATTAGTTTTAGTGTACACATGTTAAGATGCGTTACTGTTAAACGGAATGTAGTGGTGGACGTTAATTCATAACTCATATTTCTAAAACAGATGACACCAGTAGAAGCATTTACATAAATGATAATCACATATCTAGTTTCTGGGTTAGGGAGCTAGGTTTATCAGGGATTATTTAATCCGAGAGTGTTGGTGGATATTCTACCACGGGGCATTACTCAGGGACAAATATCACGGGGCATTACGTTGGGACAAATATCACGGGCATTATACAGGGACAAGTATCACAGGGCATTACTCCGAGATAAATACCACGAGGCTTAACTCAGGGACGAATGTCACGGGGCATCACTCTGGTACACTTATCACGAGGCATTACTTCGGGACAAATATTACCGGGCATTACTCCAGAACAATTATCACGGGGCATTACTCCGGGGAAATGTGATGAAGCTTTACTCAGAGACAAATAAGACGGGGCATTACTCCGGGAAAATGTCATCGAGCTTTACTCAGGGACAAATGTGACGGGGCATTACTCCGGGACAATTATCACGGGGCATTACTTCGGGACGATTATCACGGGGCATTAGTTCGGGACGATTATCACGGGGCATTACTCCGGGGCAACTATCACGGGGAATTACTTCGGGACATTTATCACGGAGCATTACTTCGGGACAATTATCACGGGGCATTACTCCGGGACAATTATCACGGGGCATTACTCCGGGATAAATATCACGGTGGATCACTTCGGGACAGTTATCACTGGGCATTACTCTGGGACAAATATCATGAGGTATAATTGCGGGACAGTTATCAATGGGCATTACTCTGGGAAAATTATCACGTGGCATTACTCATGGACAATTATCACGGGGTATCACTCCGGGACAATTATCACGGGGCATTACTCCGGGATATTGCGTCGTGCTCGGTTTTTTTTAACCATAACAGTGGACTAACTTTGTTTTTAGAATATTCTCCAACCAGTCTTTTCTTCTGTGTTCACTTGAAGCTAGCACTGGCTGGTACTTGGCAACATGCTTGACAGATTGGGAAATCAAATTATAGATTCACAATGTTCATTTTCAAAGAAAATAACATTCTCTCGTTGTATAGGCAACCGGGACTAATCTATTATAAAGCATGTGTACTTGTTATTTCACTCGAGTGAAATACCCCCATTTGAGGTATATGTTATGATATATAAATACAAAATAATATCACAGTTTAGAATAAACTATATACATAGATTATACAGACTCCGCATCTTCATCACATGTCGACACTTGTCTATAAAGGTCAGCATACATTCATTTTTCGCAAACAGGACACAGACGAAGTTTTTGTCAGCGTGCACGACACGTTCGCAATCAAAGGGAGGCTACTCTTCTCGTCGAAGCGCGAAAACTACGGGACCATGCCACATTGTACAGATGATCATAACATACTGTACGGGTGTGAGTAGACAATTTACTGTACACCTTCTATCGCTTATACGATCAGTTATAAAATATATACTATTCAAAAGAAGTTAAAGAACACCCGATTTGTTTCCTATGACTGGAGTTAATCTGTCATGGTCATATGAAAGGTTCGGGTGTTCTTTCACTTATTTTGAGGAGTATATATGTTGGTGTGCAAAATAATACAAGGCACGATCACATGTAGGGTAAAAATAGACATGAAATTTGCATAACAAAATAACAGCAGGACCGGAATACTCCAACACACTGATGAAATATGATAGTTTTGAAAGTGAAATAAACATGTGTCTGAAAATACATTGATTATTTTTCTTTCAAGACGGATAGGTTTAATGTAATTACAGCACTGTTCCAAATACACGCGCAGTAGGTTAATATGTGAGGAAGGGGGCAGGTCATTGACCTTCTTGCATCTTGGTGAAACACAACAGCACCTATATTCCCTCAGCTGTCCACAGCGGACCAGCTTCTCTACCTTACATGTATGTCCACTTATTCCCTCTGTAAGAAAATAGCCGTATCATTGGCTAAAATGTATAACCGTCGTAAGTCCCTCATTATATAATTTATAAAACCCCATGGTTCGTACCTCTAATTCTCTTAGTATTTCAAATGCACTTAAGTGGTTTTATAAACTTCTTTTTTTATATTACATGCTTTTTATTGTGTAACATGTGTCTCATAGGCCTTTATAGGCCGGCTGGCGTTATTCTTTTATATATATATATCTGCCTGTATTTTACCAAAATGAAATATTATTGTATACAACGCCGGGTGACACGTAAATAAAACAATTTTCTTTCTTTTCTTTTCTTGCTTCTATGATGCCGACCCGCCATCGATCACCCAGCCGGTGTTCATACCAGACCTACCAGACCTACCAGACCTATCAGACCTACCAGACATACCAGACCTACCAGACAGAACATAATCCTGGTATAACATGCTCTACCATCATCACAATTCTTTGGACAAAGGATCATCTCTACAATCAGCTATAATCAGCCAGGCTGGGTTTTTTATTATTTGCTTTTATTATTTTCATTATTGATATTTTTTTCCATTAGCGACTGAAACCCGACTGAATGAAAATAAAATTCAAATTTATTACACATATAAGAGTGAGTGAGTGAGTATGGTTTACGCTGCTTTTTGCAATATTCCAGCAATATCACGGCGGGAGACACCAGAGAAGGGCTTCACAACACATGTAAGCTATTTTGAATAGGTGAACAATATGATTTTACAAAAATTCGCCAAAATTTTATTATTTCTACGTCGAGCATGAATCTAAAGGGGATGTTTCCTATTTTTTTCAAAAACGGTATCCATTTTTATCAAAAGATGATAATATTTATAAACACACCCTCTCGAAAAAAACATACTTTAAGATTCAGCATAGAGGCTGAAAGTATAGACTGGTACTTCACATTCTGGAGTGTCATCCAGATCAACATCACTACCACCAGTGTATATATCAGCATCACTACCACCAGTGTATATATCAGCATCACTACCACCAGTGTATATATCAGCATCACTACCACCAGTGTATATATCAGCATCACTACCACCAGTGTATATATCAGCATCACTACCACCAGTGTATATATCAGCATCACTACCACCAGTGTATATATCAGCATCACTACCACCAGTGTATATATCAGCATCACGACCACCAGTGTATATATCAGCATCACTACCACCAGTGTATATATCAGCATCACTACCACCATCAGCAGCACGGTGGACTGGAGTCATCTTTAGCATTCGCATTCACAGCCAGGGTTGAAGAGAAGTGAAACAGCACTGTATCAATTGAACGTCAAACATGGAGATGAGACGGACAAGTCGGGAAGGAAGTTGCAAGCCAACGACCCTGGGGTAAGGGGACATCCATTTAATATTCGGGGTGTCCGGATGGGGTGGGGTGGGATTCGGGGGTCGTTCTGTTTGAGACAGAACATTGTCACAGCCAGTGCTTCAAGATATGCCATACATTTCTATGGAAGCAAGCTGTTTGTGAACGACAAAGCATTATTTTTAGATGATCTAGTATGTCTTAAGAAAGATTTGTTTTGTAAAACTTTATGTCAAATTACTTTTATATTCTTTAACAAAAACAGCGAGCAATGAATATCGCATATCCCCAGATCCCCTTTGAGTAAATTATTATTATTTTCATTATCATTTTAAGTGGTACGAGTATTTAGGGGTAGACTATTTAGGGTTTCGTAACATATCTTAAACGTCTTACATCTTGATTCAGCATCAAATGATCTGACAGCAATGGAACAATATTCGAAGAATGGCACAAAACCATACAGGTTAGGTGGAATAGGTTGAAAACCATGGCAACGATTCCCCAGCAAAGAGTGTTGAGCATGTCCCTCCGTCTCCCACACTCACAACACCGTGCACGTGCCTGACTGCTTCTGCACGACGACCTCCTCTGGGCAAGGCACGGGGAAATATAACCTACAACAGACCGTTCACATTGAGGGAATGGAGAATAATCAGAATGGGCCGAACAACATGATACATATTAGTATTTTACTACCGCTTCACTAGCTATTGCTGATAGCTGTCACATCTTATAGAATCTTTGTCTGGGTGTGAGTGAATTGCGAGTTAATCCGCTCTTAGTATTGTTCAAGGGGCGTTCGGGTAGCCTAGTGGTTAAAGCGTTCGCTCGTCACGTCGAAGACCCGGGTTCGATTCCCGACATGGGTACAATGTGTGAAGCCCATTTTTGGTGTCCCACGCCGTGATATTGCTGGAATATTGCTAAAAGCGGCGTAAAATCATGCGCACTCACTCACTAGAAGTTTCAAGCAACGAGGAGGGGCACCAGGGGTGAGTATGGCTTTGTGCCGCTTTTAGCAATCTTCCAACAATATCACGGTGGGTGACACCGAAAATGGGCTTCACACACTGTACCCATGTGGGGAATTGATACCGGGTCTTCGGTTTGACGAGCGAACGCTTTATCCACTAGGCTATCCTACGAATGGTATTCACGCATTGTACATATCCCATGACTCAGACGTCGGGCCTTCTGGAACAAGCGAAAACTGTAACCATCACATCGACCCGCCGACCCTTATGCGATACTTCGATTATTTAAAATCATTGTTGTATAACGCCGCACTCAGCTATATGACGGCGGTTTGTAAATAATCGAGATATCATGAGCATCGATCCACGCAATTGGGATACGATGACATGCATCAACCAAGTCAGCGTGCCTGACCACCCGATCCCGTTAGTCACCTATTACGACAAGCAAGGTTTGCCGAAGACCTATTCTAACTCGGATCTTTACGGGTATATACTTCGATTGATGTGAGTGGCTTTGATTTCACGTTGCGTTCAACAATATTTCAATGTACAGCGGGTACAGCAATATTGGAAGAGCTGGGTAAACTAGCGAACGCATTAACCACAATTCTGTCACACCACTTGGTAAACATATATCCTTTTTTTATTACATATTTAACAGAAGTACGTAATGGTGTGACAGTTGTTTGCTCTTACTAATCAGTGTCAGTGAATGGGTCAACGCCATTTTCTACTTCAGTCATACACCAGCGTGTCAGCTTGATGTCGGAGGAAATAAAGAAATCGAGGGGGAGGAGGTGACCACCAGCTGGTGAAACCTACGATTATGGTATGTCGCTGATAAACCATGGATCATAATCGGGCGGAATATGTGATTCGAAACAACAATCAGCGTATCGGATCCAGATGCGACCAAGGGACGCAACTCTACAGAACGAGCTGCTAAGCTTTGGAGTCTCAAGTTAAAGAATCTCTTAGACAAAGTTTCATCTTAAGCATATGAGTATTATACGTGCGCTTCATAACATGCTACGCGGGATAAAGTAATAACGAGATTCAGATCGTCCCTGATACATGTACACACCTGATAGCCGTGAGCCACCGCTTTCCCCCGCCTTCAACCAGCCCGTAGTCTACGCGTTCTTCGTTTAAACCTGCACCCCCTAGGGTTGTTGGGAACAACACCGTCTCGACGCTGAATATTGGCAGCGCTGAAACAGATAGACGTCAATTTATCGACAGCTAGGAGTAAATGAGAGAGTGGACGGGTGAATGGACGAGTGAGTGAGTGAGTGAGTGAGTGAGTGCTGCCACGGCGTGTCAGCTAAAGTAATGCAGGCTTCAGACGTATTGGTGAAACCCACGGGCACGGGTATGGTGCAGACAAACCTAGAAACATAATGGGGGCGAACTGGGATTCCGACCCATGATCATAGGTTTCTGGCACACCTAAGGGACGCAACTCTGCACAGCGAATACCAGCGCCTTGTACGTCTGCAACCCGTGGCCAAACGATACTGACATCACAGGCTGATCTAAGTGAAAGTGTTTCAGTTCCTGATTGAGGCAGCTTGAGTTGCTGGAGCGGATTGTATGGACGCGAGGCCGTCTCCGTGTTCTAGCGGTTTTATCACCGACCGCGTCATAGCAAAAGACTTGAAAGATGATACTTTTTGTTACCTTGCCTGGCGCCAGCATTAACTACTCGGGACGGAGTCAGTATGTATGTGTCTGAGGCTGTGTCTGAGTAGGGTATCAATGTTAAACTGCGGCATGGCATCTCAGTGGGCTAGCACTAAAAAGGCAACATTAGTCCGAACTAGTGCATGCAGTCACACACACGTGCATGCACGTCGCTATATCAGGGTACAAATCTTAAACGCGGCGATAAAACCCATTTCACCTCACCTCGTTTCACCTTGCTTCGCCGTATTAACAGGAACACAAACAAATTGGTGACATCACACATTTTATGGGAAATTATGAAAATGGGAAATTATGAAAATATTGGACAATATATTTATAGTCAAAATACGATAAATATTAAACGCATCACAACCAAGATTTACAGACTATTAAGACAGACCTCGCTGACTTGAATGGGGTCTTTAGAAACGTCAAGCTAAAACAGTTAAATGATAAAGGGTCCCCTTTTTTCACTATGTCAAAAGCATTCAAGGAATTGCTCTACTTACGATTGACTGCCAACCAGTTGGCTATTCTTCCCATTGTCTGATTCATGTTTTCGAAACCCTTTTCTCCGCCCTTTCCTGGGGCGAAGAGGCGCGATGATAAGAAGGTGCCAGCATATGACGTAACTTCCGGTGTATTGACATAGAAGATGCGCAGTACCCTGACATATATGCAGTCGGAGTTTGACAAAAAGTCGTCTGTTTTCTCGGAGAAAATATCTATTTTCCCTGCAAGTTGAACAAGAATTGTTGTTTTTTATTTATCTTAATGCATATTTGTCCTGAATTTACCTCAGCAATACCACGCAGCAATGGATATTTTCGCATTACGATTGCATATGGAAAACCACCTTTTTAAATTTTTAAGGGACAAGAAAAAATGTCATTTGTATGGGCTTTTGCCTTCTCGTGGTTACACATGTTTTTATATAGCAAACGTTGTATTGATATGGTAACTGTGATGAACAGCCAAATGTTATTTAGTCATACCTTGATGATCCCTTGCCTGGATGTCTCGTGTTTCAATGTTGACAACTCGGATACCCTGCGACACAAACGCGTACATGACTCGTACATGTCTTTATTTTCCTGCGTTAAATATACCATGTACAGGAGAGGGAGAGAACGACCAGAGAGAACTAGGAGAGAGAGTGATAGTAGTGTGACGGGGGATAGTAGGAAGCAAGGGGGGGAGCGGTGAAAGAGAGTGTTTGGAGCGTGAGGTGAGAGTGATGAGAGAGAGGGAGAGGAGAGAGAGTGATAGGAGCTTGAGGTGAGAGTGAGACGAGAAAGAGAGCGACAGAGAGAGCATGAGATTGAAGCGTCATTGGATGATAGTTGGAAGCAAGGGAGAGAACGGGGTGAGAGCGTGATTGGAGTATGAAGTGAGAGTGTGAGAAGAGAAAGAGAGAGAGACAGAGAGCTAGTGGGATTGGTGAGCGTGACAGGGATAGTGAGGAGCAAGAGAGAGAGCGAGGAGAGAGAGAATGATTGGAGCGGGAGGTGCCAGAGAGAGAGAGAGAGAGTGGAGCGTGACGGGTGATAGCGAGAAGTAAGGGAGAGAGCAAGGAGAGTGTTATTGGAGCGTGAGGTGAGAGTGTGAGCAGAGAGAGAGAGAGAGCAGAATGAGAAGGAGGGGTGAGAGCGAGAAAAGAGAAAGTAGGATGGGAGCGAGGAGCGAATGATATAAGAAGGCAGGGAGGGAGGAGGAGAACGGAAATGACAGCGAGGAGAGGTCGAATGGAGAATGCGGAGGAAGAGGGAAGGGGAAGAATGAGGACAGAGAGCGGGGGACAGTGAGGTGATAGAGAGGTAGGAGAGAGTGAGAGAGTTGGGGCTCAAACAATCACCCCCCACCCAACCCACACCGATATCATTTTGACATATCACTGCGGTGTTAGACCCACACATCCCTCTCGAACTCAGTCATAACGACTAAAGGTTAGATTTAGAAAGGCGCTGCTATTATGATTAAGGACATTTTTTGATTACTCACGGCTTGACTTTGTAACCACACCCGAGCTTGTTCCACCACTGCAGAGAATGGTTCAAACTTGGTTGATGACTTGGTGCCGGTGAAGCGCACCTGCCTGGGCTGTATCTCCTTCATAACTGGAGGATGAAGAGTAAGGAGAACTAAGTGGCACCATGTCCTCACATATTTTGCTTAAGAAAATGAATGTGTTTATTGTGTGAATGGCGGATGCTACCGGTAGGGAAGTATATGCTAACCCTTTCCGCGAACACCTGATTTTCAGTGATCTATTCATAAAAGTTTCACAGCTATTTTGCCCTTTACTCCCAATTGAATCTGTTTCGGCAGATAATCGTCAGTTCATGCTTCAGTGAACATCGTTAGCCCTGTATACCTAAAACACAATACACAAAACCTGTAACACCTTTAGTAAATAGACTCTGCAAGTTTTGTACCAACTGTGTTGAGGATGAAATACACTTCCTTGTAACTTGTGATCTTTACTCAGACCTTCGTTACAATTTGTTTAATTCTATTTCTAGTTTAGATCCCTCCTTCCTACAACTTAATCCAACAGACCAGTTTAATTATATAATGAATAATGATTCACTTTGTATTAAGTTAGCCGTTTTACTAACAAAAATGTATAAGCGTCGTTGTCACACACTTTCTTAATATCATGTCACTACCCAATTAATCCCGTCTTAATGCATTGATGTATATATTTTTTATTTTTTTTATTTTAACTATTGATGGAACACGTTCATGTTTATTCGTGTCTCGTAGGCCAATGCTGGCCGGTGGATGTATTTTTAATTCGTGCCATATTTGCAATGTTACTGATTTTATGCATCCAGTGACACGTTAATAAAATATTTTTCTTCCTTTCTTCTTCGTAAATACATGCTTTACTGAACCCCGTTAGCCATGACTGCGTCATTGTATGCGTAAGTGAACACCATCCTATCGATTACTACCCGGGTCGTCTAATTTTTAGAGCTTCACAATGCCCTGGTTGTTAACCATGCATGAGTGGTTTCTCCATGGCTCAGTGTAATCCGTGTAGTCACTGACCCGTATAATTTGTTTTGGGGAGACTATCAATGGATAGAGAGGTGTTTGGGTTGGGACAACATAAGATAGTGCTGCAATATGGAGATTAATGGCAGTGTTTGTATTCAGGTACTTCGTTATCTGTTAACCTTTCTGTGAACTTTCACTTCTTTCGTTTTATATTCCAAAACAAATTAAGTCAGTAAGATCAACGCAACAAATATGCACAGCATTCACGAAACGTGAAATCCAACACACATTATAATGCTCTTTTACAGGCAACAGTACTACATAACTAGAGTATGACAGTCTGTGTAACTGTTGTACTCACTTAAAATAGTGACTCAGCCAATGATAAATATAAATGCATTACTATGGAACACTGTAAGGGACATTCTCGCAATCTCGACTTTTGGAAACGAGCTAAATATGCCAAAAACACGAGAATGCGAGATCGCGAGAACGCGGGATTTTGGCCAAATCTCGCGTTCTCGCGATCTCGTATTCTCGTGTTTTTGATACATAGCACTCATGGTCAAAGGTCGCCAACGCGAGAAAGCGAGATTTGGACATGATGAAAAATCTCGCATTCTCGCGATCTCGACTTGTCAAATTAGGCCACAAAAAGACGAAATCGCGAGAATGTGCCATTTCATTTTCTCGCGATCTCGCATTCTCGTGTTTTTGGCATATTTAGCTCGTTTCAAAAGGTCGAGATCGCGAGAATGCGAGATCGCGAGAATGTCCCTTAATGTATTCCATACATTACTGTCACAAAAACAATCCCAGGTCTAATGCATATTTTAAAAACTACACGTCACTACAACACGTGACTTACAAACTGTTTCATTCCTCGACTGCCCAACAACGTAGAACACCCTCATGATCTGCTTGGTTTTCCTGGCGCGTAAACCGTCGGCTCCATTCTCGCAGTAGCAGGTACACTCGGGGTCAAACTTGCTGTAGCCGATGGAGTATTTCAAGGTCGCTGTCTCGATGTTCAGGATTGCACCTGAAAGATTTGACTGAGAAACTAAACACTTCAGCCAAGAATTAAATATCAGCACTTAGTGTGTATTATCATGCATCACTGTACTGATATACTCAACACTTCAGCCCATCATTGAATCTCAGCACTTAGTGTGTATTATCATTCATCACTGTACTGATATACTCAACACTTCAGCCCATCATTGAATCTCAGCACTTAGTGTGTATTATCATTCATCACTGTACTGATATACTCAACACTTCAGCCCATCATTGAATCTCAGCACTTAGTGTGTATTATCATTCATCACTGTACTGATATACTCAACACTTCAGCCCATCATTGAATCTCAGCACTTAGTGTGTATTATCATTCATCACTGTACTGATACACTAAACACTTAGCCCAGCATTGAATATCAGCACTTAGTGTGTATTATCATTCATCACTGTACTGATATACTCAACACAACCAAGGGTCACCCATATAGGTGAGGACGATACAGTTGAAGGTTTCCTATTCAAATCGAAAACTAAAAATTATCAAAGCCCCAGTTGCTAAAGACCACATTAATGTGAATGTCAGTGGCTGTATTACTGAAAACAATATTTGAACCGGGTCCACATGTTAATGTACCACCATCGTGGTGTAGTGTCTGCCGGAAAGCGGAAGGTCGGTGGTTCGATCCCCTGGACGTGTCATACAAATAGACGTTAAAGATGGACATTAACAGGAATTAACAATGACTGGTCGGCTTGGAGGCAGTATACTGTGTCTGAGTGGGGTATTCGTGTTACACTGCGGCATGGTATCTGAGTGGGCTAGTACTATATAACCGGCATTAGTCCGGATTAGTACAAGCACACACACACACACACACACACGCACGCACGCACGCACGCACGCACGCACGCACACACACACACACACGCACACGCACACACACACACACACACCATTCAACCCAATTTCACCTTACCTGGTCGTATTCTGGTAGAGCCTAAACTCGTATATAAGAAAAGCTTTCGTGGAGACGTATATATCAACAATATTCCACTGTATTAGATGTGGCATAAATTGAAATGAAGCTCACCTGGTAAGGACCTAACGGACGTGTTGACTTTGCCAATGCACTCAGTAACCCCTCCTTCGGGTACGACATTAACAAGGCCGAGTTGCTGAGGAGGGGACCCATCAACCTTCTTCACGAACCAGATTCTGAGGGGAAATGAGACAATTATAAAATATGTCACTATTACATCTATGTCACAACAACCTAAATACCAGCAGTATTCAGTTACATGTTCATAGAAAAAAATCTACCAAACTCTTTCCACAATCATAAGAAATCTTTTTGCACGTGTTTATGGATCACTGTGATGTTAGTGATGATACCTGGTGTTTGCCTTAAATGTTGAAAAACACAATAACCTACAATGTTTAGTTTGCAACATTTCAGCTCTACACCAAATACGTGAGTGAGTGAGTATGGTTTAACGCCGCTTTTAGCAATATTCAAGCAATATCACGGCGGGGGACACCCGAAATGTACCCATGTCGGGAATCGAACCCGGGTCTTCCGCGTACGAGCGAACGCTTCAACCACTAGGCTACCCGACCGCCCCTACACCAAATACGAGTCATCTGCCGTGAAGATCCGGGTTAGAATAGGTCTTCAGCAACCCATGCTTGCCGTAAAAAGCGACTATGCTTGTCGTAAGAGGCGACTAACGGGATCGGGTGGTCAGGCTCGCTGACTTGGTTGATGCATGTCGTCGATCCCAATTGGGTGGATCGATGGTCATGTTGTCAATCACTGGATTGTCTGGTCCAGACTCGATTATTTGCAGACCGCCGTCATATAGCTGGAATATTGCTGAGTGCGGCGTTAAACAACAAACAAACAAAACGTCAACACTTATTTCTGTTCAAATATATTTATATTTTATGATCCCCCACTTTTTAAAGAGTTTATGTATATATATATTCTGACAGGTAATGTACATCTTACTATTTAACGCTGATCCTTGTCTAGGCCTAACAAGGGTAGTCAAGATTTTGTTCATATTAACTTACCTCAATCCCATCACGTGGGCGTTGAAGCCTTCAGCTGATTCGTGGTGGGTCATGACCCCAAGGTTGACCTTTGTCCCTGAGTCAATCTTTCTCTCGACAGTCTCGCACTTCCAGCACAGGAGCTCCGGGTGTTGCAGCAGCCACACATTGGCACCAGTGATGATGGAGCTGCCAACAAATACGACACTTGATTGCGTATTTCAGTGGCATATGTTAATTTATTTCAAACAACATTTGATTGGAAATACATAACGTCAACGCCGGAGAATGGCAAGTCTCGATTATCCGATTATTCCACTTGACATAAAGGCAAAACGGTGGTGACAATTATAAGAATGGAACGCTGAAAACGCTGATGACACAGGTTTTTTGCCAAAAGGGTAATCATGTCCTGCCATACCTGTTGCACCCGTCAGTCTCATAATTTGCATACCCGTGAAGATTTCGGGGTAGAATTGGTCTTAGCAACCTATACTTGCCGTAAAACGCGACTATGCTTGTCGTAAGAGGCGACTAACGGGATCGGATGGTCAGGCTCGCTGACGCGGTTGATGCATGTCATTGCATCCCAATTGCGTGGATCGATGCTCATAATATCAATTACTGGATTGTCTGGTCCAGACTCGATTATTTACGGACCGCCGTCTTATAGCTGTAATATTGCTGAGTGCGGCGTTAACCAACAAACAAACAAACCATAATTTGCTTAATAAAAATATGCGTTTGTTGCCTGACAATGCACAGCGGTACTCATGCGACGCCGACATGTAAATAAACCAGACAATCAAGTGACAATACCCGTGCACCAATATTGGTTTGACAATCAACGACATCGATAATTGTTAATTTACGTAAACAACCACAAATGAGAAGAACATCGTTATCTGTGAAATGATTTCCACAAGAATCACAGCAGTTGATCAATCAAAATATTGATAACTGTTAATTTAGTGGCTTTATAAATTTATCAAATAAGAGTGAGTGAGTTTGGTTTAACGCCGCTTTGAACAGTATTTTCCAGTTAGAGCACGGCGTGTCAGGTTAATACATACGTAGGAGGGAAGCCCGAAGTGATGCAGGTCTTACACGTTTACCAGTTTTGTGAAACCCACTTGCACGGTTATGGTGCTGACAAAGCTAGCAAAATATCGGGTCGAACCGACATTCGAACCCACTATCACAGGTTTCTGGCGTGCCTAAGGGACGCAACTCTCTACATGTAACTGATGCGCCTTAGACGGCGTGTGCAGAATATGAGAATGAGGTTGTGAATACAAATAAAAAATGTAAAACACACCCATAGAAATCGATGAGTTAATGAATGAGTGTCTAACGCTTTGTTGAACAGTATTACAGATATATCACGGCATGTCAGCTTTAGGTGGTTATAAGCCCAGAAGCCAAGCGGGTCGTCGCCGTTACCATTTTGGTGATACGCACAGGTATGGTACTATCAACCAAGGTTCATAATCGTGACGAATCTGGGATTCGAACACATAACCTGCGGATCGTGACTCTGCATAGCGAGATGCAAAGCCTTCGACCAATGACCAACAAGACAGATTCGTAAAGGCTTGGTTTGGTTTGTTGTTTTACGCCGCACTCAGCGATATTACAGCTATATGACGGCTGTCTGTAAATAATAGAGTCTGGACCAGACAATACTGTGATCGATATCATGATCCACGCAATTGTGACCGATGACCTGGATCAACCAAGTCAGCGAGCCTGACCACCCGATCCCGTTAGTCGACTTTTACGGCAAGCATGGGTTGCTGAAAACCTATTCTACCCCGGATCTCCACGGGTAATCGTAAAGGCGATTGGTCTTGGGTTCAAGTTATTCTGGGGCTGCTGAGGAATGCAAATCTGATACGCGACTCGCGGTGCGACAGACAACTGACTATGACAAATTTAAAAAAGAAATAAATATTCGTTATTCACACGGCATGACCATTAGTTACAATAACTGATTTATGACACGTCATTTTTAATCGAAACTGACTTCCCTCACCTGAAGGGTTGAAAAATCGGCGACTTCTTGTACCGGATGTTCCCCGGATCGACCACCATCGGCATGATGTCGATGTGGCACAGGGGAGGTAACTCCGGCTGTGCAGGGATAAAAGACGTCAGGTTTTGTCCCATGACTTCCTCGAAAGATGGTGGAGCTTGTGGTCCAGATTGGAAATCTTTAGGGGTGGCAGCGCTGACACTTCCCCCCGGCGCTTCATCATCATAGGTAACTGGCCCATTCGCTTCCTCTTCCTTGGTGTGTGCTGGTGGTTTTTCGGACATTTTGAAGTTCACAGTATGTCAGATATGAACCTGAAATAAAGACGACGACGTTTAGACCAGGACGGTTGTGTGCATTGATCAAAAAAGACTCTTAGTGTTTTCTACTCATGTAGTGATACATGTCTCCCACCTCTACTTGACACACCCAAAAGCCTCCGACGTTAGCCATTGGTCTGAAACCCGAGTCCAGTCAAATGTCAAGTTAAGATCTAATAGTAAATAAACCAATATGCTAACATCGAAATTTAGTGAAAATAGTGCCAAGACATAAGTCGTTCTTGAAGAATCATTCTTTTATATTCTTAATGAAAATATTGGGAATAAAACAGTCGGGAAAAATGTAGAATACATCGATTTTTGATTGAGGCTAAAAAGGAAACAAAGAAAATACGAAATTGTTATTCCACGGTGATGTATTTGATACGGGCGTCGTAGTTGTTTTTGGTCCTTACGTGTGCAGTGTTTGGGTGACTGTTTTCAGCCAATCACTGGATTGTCTGGTCCACACTCGATTATTTACAGACCGCCGTCATATAAACTAACATACGTATCTATTGTCGTCACATGAATAAAAGGGCGGTCGGGTAGCCTAGTGGTTAAAGCGTTGGCTCGTCACGCCGAAGACCAGGGTTCGATTCCCGACATGGGTACAATGTGTGAAGCCCATTTCTGGTGTCCCCGCCGTGATATTGCTGGAATATTGCTAAAAGCGGCGTAAAGCCATACTCACACACTCACATGAATAAAGCTGACACTGTCACTTGTGACTGCCACATTCATAAATAAATCAATTTCGTCAGATCACACGATGAGATCAGCTATAATTCTATATACATTATTTCTCATTGTAATACGGGTACTTTTCCATTCATTTCGCAATGGTGTTTCTAAATGTCCCAATACAAATACCACAGTCAAGGGCCACCGACGGTACCCCACATGCGTCTGGTTATAATGTCAGTCGGATTCCATTGACTCAGAACTGATATTCTGTACAGCATGAATATGGCAGCATAGTTACACAATGACTGGCACAGGGGGGTGGGACATTCACGTCCAACCACGCGCTACACCGAGTGAATACACTACCGCGCCATGGTGAGCGATTACACGTTAGAATTTATCATAATCTTACAGCGTATTGTACCCACAAAAATAAACACAACACCTTTTGTAAGTAACACTTAAATCTCACGAAGGTCATTTTCTCGAAGAATTTTATCAACATAGAAAAGAATATCTCCAAAGAAAAATAAATTTATATCTAAATTATAAAAGGATAATTTCTTTTTGCCTGATCGTAATTCTTTTCACCTTAGCGAATCACATATTACAAACATTTAACAAGGACATTAAAGAGGAAACAATCCATATGCTAAAACATTAAATGAATTATCAAATTATACATTAATATTGAAATACAACTTTACTAGTGGCGGTTCTCCGAAAAAATATATCCGTATGGTCCAATGAACATATATTGTATCATTCAATGACTAAATCAAAATGCAATCTTTATTAATTCATCAAAACATCAACAACAACACTGTTCGTCCAAACTAAATTCATCTAATGTTAATCGTACAGCAGACTTATGTCGCCGTCACTTGAAAGAATACACGAGTACCAGACATGGAGCGAACACAACAAGCCAACATGTCAGACCCTCAGCTGCTAGATCGAGAACATATAGAGATACTGACTGTAGAGTAACGATTTGTAAAATACATATTATTCTGTCAAATTACACCTCACGTTACCTGAGAAGCATTCACACCTTCAGTCCCACTGGCTTTAAACTGTACCTGCCGTTAAATGCCCTGTGCACTGGAGCTAACTGCGCTTTGATTCCCCATGAATAGGCATTGTGTTGAAAAAAGATACCAGATTTCTCGGGTGTCGTTTATGCCAAGAACAATTGCCCTATACCGCTTGTAATACCGGGTTGTGAGGGGTACTCGTGCGTGACACATCCTGGGTGGATCCCGAGCCAAGTGAATGTTCGTTTGTTTGTTGTTTTACGCAATATTGCAGCTATATGACGGCGGTCTGTAAATAATCGCATCTGGACTAGACAATCCAGTGATTGACATCATGAGCATCGATTAACAAATGTTGATTGCAGAGCGCTATAAAGTCTACTGCAGGCGCAAGTGTATTCGACAGGCGGCGGAAAGGGAGACAACCCTAACGGGGTACGCGATCTCATGTGTGAAGCATCCCGTTTGGATCTTGTGTCGAGCCAGATAACATCATGGGTTCGAATCCCCGTTCGCCCTGATTATGTTTCTAGGTTTGTCAGCACCATACCCGTGTTCGAGGGCTTCTTACGCAAACGTCTTAAACATGCGTCACCGGTTTACCTCTCACAACAAGCTCACACGCCGTGAAAATACTGGAATGCTGTTCCCAGAGGTGTTCACCTTCGCTCACTTGCTCAATCTCTACCGTGAATTTGGACACTACTCTGGATTCTGTTTGGTCAATCAGCGGTTTCAAAGGACAATAACCACTGAAACGTGATTTGACGGCCGGATCATCTTGCAAATTAAGGTGAGGTGAGGTGAGGTGAAATGGGGTTTAACGTCGCGTCCAAGATTATTGCACTTATATAGCGACGTGCATGCACGTGAATGTATGTGTGTGGCTGCTTGTACTAGGCCGGACTGATGCCGATTTATAGTGCTAGCTCACTGAGATACCATGCCGCAGTTTAACATGAATACCCCACTCAGACACAGTATACTGACTCCGAGCCGACCAGTCCTTGTTTTAGCCCCTCAATGCCGAGCGCCAGACAGGGTAACAACAAGTACCATCTTTTAACGTCTTTTGGTATGACGCGGTCGGGGATCGAACCCCGGAGCTTCCGCTCTCCGGTCGGACGCTCTACCACTAGACCACGGAGGCGGTCTGCAAATTAAGGGTTTTTTTTATAAAATAACTTCTTTCATAGTGATTGTCGGGAGGCATTTTGAAAAAACAAGATGAAAAATTATAGATTGCACTATTCAGACTGTGTGGCAGTAGAATTCACCAACAAAGTTTATTTTTTAGTTTCTAAGCACAACAGATAACTTAAAATTTAGCGCTCTTGTGCCGCAACATCTTTATGTTGGCTTATTATTATAAGCTGTACTTAACAATGTCAATACCTGTCATAAATGCGAGAAAATATATACCCTCAACTTTAGAGAATAAGCAGTCTCGAGCATATGGCGAAACAGATTCCATTGGTCGGTACGCAACATTTTCTCGAGGCAAGGGCAATAACTGACTATAAACTGGACTTTTAAAGCCAGCTAACTCTCTTGCCTCGGGAAGATGTGACGCAAAAGAACGGCGAACATTTTACGAAAGGATCACTTAAAATCAATGATGGCAGAATAGGGTACGCGTGGATTCGAGAATAGGGTAAGCATGTCCCACCGTACCAGTAGCACCCGACACTCACGCAATTTGCATAACAAAGTAAGTGTTTATTTGTTGCCTAACGCCGCAGAGCGGTACAGTGATGTAAACAAAGATCTTTGAGTATATAGAGGGCCATACTTTGTATGATTTGTTTGTTGTCTAACGCCGCACTCAGCAATATTCCAGCTATGTGATGGCGGTCTGTAAATAATCAAGTCTCTTGCATGGCGTGTAAACTGTGAGCCACCCATTGGAATATAGCCAGATACTATGAAGCTAACATCACCAAACGTTACACAATTCTATGCAGTCTCTTTTTTAAAAAAATATGTACAACAATAAATGAAATGCCATGAGGAGTCACTCTTGCCCTGTCGGTACAAACACACGTGACCTCCTAGTACGTGAACACTATTCGCTACAGAACACATACAGACGGTAACGATCTGGGCGGAAGTAACCGGATTAACGGAAAGATGGGTTTTCGATTTTCAATTTTAGTGTAACTACAAAGTTTGATAATTTTAAGATATATCTAAGAATTTGTATGGCTTGATAATTGTGAGATATATCTAAGCAGTTACATAATTTTATAATTGTATGATATATATATATTAAAAAAATAGAGAGAGAGAGAGACTTCCACAACTTCTGCCACCCCTCCTTTTAACTGTTTTAAATATTGTATGCTATATCAATTAAATGACAATTATTTTTATGCGTATGTGACTAAAACCTTACATAGACGTTGTGGCAAATATGCAAAGGGTAAACCTGAAATGTGGGTTCTGTATATTTGAATATTTTTGTAATGTTGACGTTCATACGTTTTCTACGAAACTGTATCCTTGAAATGACGTAAACACCGACGGACTACTTCCCCGTACCTGGGATGCATAAAAAAGTGATATACAAAATTATAAGGATTGTGAGTTCATTGGAGTTTGAACCTTCATAGATTGAGGGCCAAACTGTTTGAACGTCGCAGAGAAAGTAAATTCTTATATAATCAAGAGTACATGTTTTTCTTGCGTGTGTCTACACACTTTGTTTGTTGTTGTGCTTGTCCTTGCACATTAAAATACACAATGAATGAAACTGTGTCAAGACTATTCACATGCAGTGTACTGTGTCCAACCGGACACCAGCAGTATTCTTACACATCTATGTTTCCATAATTTTAACAACCAATTATGCTATTCCACACTTATAAATAAATACAGTAAACTACGGTTATAACGAACTCAAAGGGACCACTAACTTTAGTTCGTAATAACCGTAGTTCGTTATAAGCATATGTACAGCATACAGTAAACTACGGTTATAACGAACTCAAAGGGATTACTAATTTTAGTTCGTTATAACCGTAGTTCGTTATAAGCATATATACAGCATAACTACAGCAAATAGTCGGGACCAAAAAAGTAAGTTCGTTATAACCGTCAGTTCGTTATAAGCGTGTTCGTTATAACCGTAGTTTACTGTATATACATCAAATGGCCGGGACTAAACATAAGTTCGCTATATCCGTCAGTTCGTTATAAGCGTGTTGGTTATAAACGTAGTCTACTGTATATAAACTGTTATCGAGGCTGTTCAACGCTTGTTGATTCGACATCACGCTCTCATTACTCCACTCAGATTACATACTGCCTGGCTCTAGAAAGGATACACTCATGTTTCATTGTGGCTAATATTGAAACACACCAGAAATGGTTATTCGATTGTGGTGTATTTGAAACGGGTGTCATAGTTGTGATTTTTTAGGACTTAAGATTGCAATGTCGTGACTGTTTTAGCCTAGTTTGTTTTATTTGTTTGTTGTTTAACGCCGCACTCAGCAATATTCCAGCTATATGACTGCGGTCTGTAAATAATCAAGTCTGGACCAGACGATAAACTGATTGACATCATGAGCATCGATCCACGCAATTGGGATCGATGACCTGCATCAACCGCGTCAGCGAGCCTGACCACCCGATTCCGTTAGTCGCCTCTTACGACAAGCATAGTCGTTCAGCCTAGTAACCTTTTGATAACGTTTGTAATCTTTTAGTCAAATCTAATTTTAGTTTCTACTTTCGTTTGCCCGGCAGTTTGCATTTGACTACGGATCCATATCTTCTCCCCTGCTGGGAGACTTGGTCAGAAAAGATGCCCAGGGTCCATGTTTATCCTTCGATAGATATCGTGTGGTCAGGCTATGTTCCTTCATTGACTGTGGGACCACCTCCGTGGTCTAATGGTAGAGCGTCCGCCCGGAGAGCGGAAGGTCCTGGGTTCGATCCCCAGCCGCGTCAACCCTTAATTTGCAGACCGCCTCCGTGGTCTAATGGTAGAGCGTCCGACCGGAGACGTTAAAAGATGGTACTTGTTGTTACCCTGTCTGGCGCTCGGCATTACGGGGCTAAAACAAGGACTGGTCGGCTCGGAGTCAGTATACTGTGTCTGAGTGGGGTATTCATGTTAAACTGCGGCATGGTATCTTAGTGTGCTAGCACTATAAATTGGCATCAGTCCGGACTAGTACAAGCAGCCACACACACATACATACACGTGCATGCACGTCGCTATATAAGTGCAATAATCTTGGACGCGACGTTAAACCCCATTTCACCTCACCTCACCTCACCTCACCTCATTGACTGTGGGTCATCGTACCCCCGTGGCGTGGTCGTTCTTCACACCTTCAGCCACTGGTCCATCTTATGCTATTACTGACGTGTACCATTGACGACCTTGTCGTTGACCAACTTGCCCAACCATTCGTTCATTCCATTATTTTCAGAGAACCACAGAAATTACAAACGCCTACGACCAAGAATAACCATACTCGACTATCGGACGACACAAACAGGAAAGAATGCGCGCGTTCACAGCAGTGATAATATGTCATGCGAAGTGGCAGTTAAGAACAGACCACAAAGGCAATTACCAAGAACCGATCAGTCGGCCAATCAGTTGTTCAGCTGCTGCCGAATTACATGCGAGGCAGTTTGTGCCAACAGCATAGCAAACCAGATGGATTATACCTCAGGATGTTTGTAAACACATGTGTACTTACAGTGGATGCCTCAGCTCGACGTGCGTGTATGCAGCGTACGTCTCCGATGTCGTAAAATCCTGCAGCCGAGTTTGTCGACTGTTATGATGTTGTGGTGAGACTTGTGAAATACTCGTTTACGTCGTTAAGTGAGGTCTATTTACGTCGGATCTGAAAGAATACAATACCCATTGGCTTCCACCATATTGTATCGGCGTTGCTTGTGGCAACGGACGTCGTCCCAGGTCATTGAGATCGATATCATGCCTTGCAAGCTTTCCGGTTCATTGGCTGTTCTTTATGTGGTTTAAAGGTACGCGCTGCCTGTCGCAATAACACATGGAAATAAAGCTTAGGTTTTCCAAGAAATGGTTTTGTATGTCGGGGTTATTCTTTGTACATTCGTCTGAAATGTATTCTTATTCACATTGAATTAATACCATAGCAAAGCTGGGACTTTACAAGTTCATGTCGTTTATGCAATACACGATACCGCTTAATTTTCAATACTCTTATGGACCCCTGAAGATCCGGGTTAGAATAGGTTTTCAGCAGCCCATGCTTGCCGTAAAAGGAGACTATGCTTGTCGTAAGAGGCGACTAACGGGATCGGTTGGTCAGGCTCGCTGAGTGCGGCGTTAACAACAACAACAACCCCCCAAAATAGTATGTTAACTAAATAGATACTTCGTAGAACGGAGGTAAAGTGGTAGAAGTCCAACATGTCACAGGATTTATCATTTGGTTGATCTCAGCTACTCATACTATTGTTAAAAGTGATTTCCAAATCACTACAAGTAACTTTACAACAGTCTCTATGGCCATATACCAATAAACTAGCGATGCGTATGAAAAATAAATGTCGCAACACGATATGATACGGTACAAGTAAAAGCGGGGGCGTTCGGGTAGCCTAGTGGTTAAAGCGTTCGCTCGTCACGCCGAAGACCCGGGTTCGATTCCCGACATGGGTACAATGTGTGAAGCCCATTTCTGGTGTCCCCCGCCGTGATATTGCTGGAATATTGCTAAAAGCGGCGTAAAACCATATTCACTCACTCACAGTAAAAGCGAAAAACTATTTCTATAATCATAAGAATCTCTGCAAAAAGAGACGTCTATTGTACGATTCCATTTATACTGTTCAAAAAAGAAAACGGTAGGAAAATACATATATACGAGGAACCGCAAAAACCAATTGCTGCAACGTCTGGGGCTGTGGTTGACGTCGGCGTAGACGTCTATCCAATTCATCTCACAGGTGCTCTATCTGGTTCAAATCCGGGTAGTCGCCTTTTACGACAAGCATAGTCGCCTTTTACGGCAAGCATGGGTTGCTGAAGATCTATTCTAACCCGGATCTTCACGGGACGGCTGCAATTGGGAGGACGTGTTGTTAATGTATCGTGGTACCAGATTGTCCTGGATATGGACCAAACCCGTCCTGCCATGATGAGAGATACCGGCCACATCACAACGCTACCCCGACCAAATCTGTTGACCCGTGCTCTTTCATCCCCTCGGCGGAGGAAAAATCTTGATTCGTCGCTAAACCAGACATCCCTCCATCGCAGTTGAGGCCATACCCTGTTTTGCGACACCAATGAAGTCGTTGCCGACGATGTTGTCGGCTCAATACGACGCGTTGAACAGGACGTTTCGCTCGTAGACAAGCTGCTCTTAAACAGTTTCGTACGGTACGGTCGGAGATTCTGCGCAGTCTGGGTATTTGGGATGGGGAGGGGGTGGCTGTGGTCGTCCCATCATGTAGGTAGCGCAGTCGGATGTAGCGATCTTTGACTCTTGGTCGTCCCGCCCTTGACCGAGCACGTGTTCACCCATGCTGTTGAAACCGATTCCATAGCCTTGTGATGGTGGTGTGCGCTACAGTGAAAACCCTGGCTACAGCTGATCGGGATTCCCCTGCCTGCAAGCGGCCTATGGCGTTGTGTCTTTGCACTTCTCTTAAGCAGGTTGTTGAACTGTCACTGTTCGATTGACGAAGATGCCAGGCAATCAAGAACCCTTCACTTCAATACCGTTCATAGTGCTGCTGCACGTGAAGGGCGTGAAACTCCATGGCCCTTTTGTTAATGCACTGGGTGCCTTTTTCCGAATCGTACGTGTTTCCCGACTAATGGTTTGCATGTCCGTGTTGGGATCATTTTGATCCGGTATATTGGTCACTGGCATATACCACATTAAACCCCTTCATTTTGCACCTCTTGGTCCGCTGATTTTGCTTTTATGGCCAAACATATCTGTATTGCGTTTATATCAGAAGCATTCGTTCATGAACCATTATTAAATAATGACGACACCATATGTTCGTGTAAAGGTGTGCGTATCCTGCCCCACCGGTGGAACCCGTCAAAACCACATGCATGCAGATCCAAGTCAAGTGTTAGGATGATATGGTATACATGTAAGTCAAAATAGGGAATTGGTCACTGATGCGTCAATTTGGACAGGTCCTCCACACGTCTACCGTTGTCGACACCAAAGGCTGGTGCAGCTGGAATATTGCTTTGAAAAATATATTATTGTCTATTACCTTTGAAGATGTAACAATATATATGGTCAGCGCGTTTAGTGACAATGCCCTAAGGATCAAAGAATTAAGTTAAGTTTACCATGTTGGATTAAGTGAACAAAGTCTAAGTATCTAATGTTTTGACATAATTGAACTTGGTTGTATTCCGAGACTTCAAAATATAATGCAAATCCATTGGGTTTTTGATGATCCACATGGTATTAGTTCCATTTGAATCAAAAGTAAAAGAAAGTTCTCACTTGATTGAATTAAGGATAAAAGGTAATTGGTGGTGTATTTGCTGGATACCTTTTGTTTTAGAATTCTTGATTCGCCCTGATGCTTCTTGGACTATTGGCACCTGCAAGCCGTCATATTACTGCGAAGCTAGAAGCAACTAATTCCCCCACGAACTGCCAACGTTGACAACGTTCTTAGACACACAGATAGCTTATTATATGGTAAATGTCATATCAAGATGGCAAACCGTAGCATGACTGGTGTGTAGCGTTCAAAGCAGCGTTAACCTTGCTTACTCATCCTCGCATTGACTTCTAAGAGTGCAATACAGAGCCAGACATCACGGCATAGGAGATCGAGTAGTCTAACAAGCTTAAGCCACAAATTAGTATGGTAACCTTTCCATTTCCGACACATGTTGAGATCTTCCAGTCATTTTGTATCTGGAACATGTAAATCTGTTGTAATGTTTTTCAATACTCAAATGTCTAGGTTAAATTGACACCCGCTCTTAGTCTAAAGGATTACTGGCCGTTCTTATCGATCCTGCATATCCTGCTCTCAAAGTTCATGCGTATATTGTCACATAACCTACATCAACAAGTATGGATTATGAGTTTTATGAAATGTTTGGGATAACATTTCTTCACATATACATATAAACATCGTACATGCAGGCAACATGGAATATTCGGTGACAGATTTATATCAGTACATGTATTTGCTTAAGACAATTTCCGTGCAAAACTCTTTGAAAGATCGATTGTTTAAGCTACAGGTCGACCTCATGTTCCATCCTTTGTATTTCAGTGTGAAAGCAACCGGCCTACATGAATCTCCCGTAATATACTGCAGGTTGTGGCTAGGATCCTCCTGCTTGATAAAAAACAGTTCTGAGTTTGAGAAGGACTCCGAATAGATGTTTTCTGACTCTGAAGAGTTCTGCGTATCGATCCCAGCTTGTCAGCCCGTCCGGGTGCTGATTGGACAACATACCTTATTCAGTACATACGGACATTGAATGTCACGATGTTGTTCGTTGAATCACGCTACGATAACATAAATACATCGTGTTTGTTTATTGGTTTGGTTTGGTTTGGCACAAACCAGTGACTGATATCATGAGCATCGTCACAAGCCGTCATATGGTGACATGGGTAGAGGTTCCTTACCGGATGTATGAACCTTTGGGTGATTTCATGTTTAAATCAAATAATGTTTGGTAGTGAGCATGGTTTTACGCAACTTTTAGCGATATTCACGCATTATCACTGGGACACCAGAAATAGGCTTCACACATTGTACCCATGTGGGGATTCGAACCCGGGCCTTCTGCGTTGCGAGCGAACGCATTAGCCATAAGGCAACTCCACCGCCCCTTATTTTCAGTTATATCTATTACATCAGAAAGAAGTACTCGGGAAAAGGAAACAACTGATTAAAACAAAGCGAAAAGCACCAGTGATATTTAATTGCAGCTTAACGGAATTAAGCGTGTATGGCGATGGTGTGGTGAACGCCATTCCGGACGTACCTTCGTCGTGGTGCATGATTCATTTGGAGCTCGTAGTGTTATGGTATGATATGTGATGCCAGGAGGAATGATCTGATTGATCAACGTTACAGCAACTGAGATAGTTGCTCACATGTTTTACTTTGTCTTTCAAGATGACAATGCACACACACACACACACAACACACTTATATTTAAATCTATTTATACTCAAAAACCCTTAGACCCGAGAACGTCCAGTTCATTTGTGGCAAAAATTACAGACACTGAAAATTGTTGTTTAGGCCCGCACAAAAGGCGGACAAATTTATTACAAGGTATATACGCCTGAGCGTACAATTCATCAATCCGAAATTGTATGAAATAAGCCACAAAGGTGGGGGAAACACACACACACACAACACACTTATATTTAAATCTATTTATGGTATTTGCAAGGGGCAAGTTCCCTTCAAACCACGCATCACATCGTTCTGAAATGTCAATAGTCTACTTTTGGCTGACGTATGAGCTATATCGTTGTTAATATGATGATGAGAACTACATGGTAAATGTTAGATAAGTATGGGTAACGATTTAAGAAATATTTCATTGATATCACTAAGTATCAGTGTGATGAAAATTAAAAGTCCAACGGAACGCCGACCGCAGATTTTCTACTTCTGTTTCTTTGTTTGTTTGCTTGTTTGTTTCTTCATTGTTTATTGCCGCACTCAGCCATATTCCAGCTATATGACGGCGGTCAGTAAATAATCGAGCCCTGACCAGACAATCCAGTGATTGACATCATAAGCATCCATCCACGCAATTAGGATACGATGACATGCATCAGCCACGTCAGCGAGCCTGGCCACCCGATCCCGTTGGTCGCCTCAAACGACTAGAAATGTCGCCTTTTACGGCAAGCATGGGTTACTGAAAACCTATTCTAACCCGGATCTTCACGTGCCTCCACTTCTGTCAAACACATCATCACTAGTATGGTTCTGACCAAGGGCCAATATCGTGACGAATCTGAAATTCATTTGTTTGTTTGTTAACGCCGCACTCTACATGAGTATGACGATGGCCTGTAAATAATCAAATCTGGACCAGACAATCCAGTGATCGATATTGTGAGCAACGATTAAACGCTATCAACTAAGTCACCGAGTCTAACCCTGAATCTCTATGGGGGTATCTGAGTTGCAAGCAAGCATGAAATGCAGTGCCCTCGACCAGTGAGCCACCAGAGCTTCCTACTGACAAAAAGACAGGTTCATATAGCCGTACTGCTACAACACACAGTGCTCTTTGAATTCGTAAGCAAATCTTTATTACTCAGAAAAACAACCAATCTTGTTAGGAATGCATCAGGTGGTTCTCAAGAACATTACAATATTGGGCATCGCGTATCACCAATAAACACAATAACGATCGTCAGTGTAAACAGTAGTAAACAGACAAGACAAATGCAGGGCAATAAACTTGATATTGTCCTTGGCAAATATGAGGACCTCGAATATGAAATGTCCCGCCTGTATACCAAGTTTGAAGGAGTTTTATTATGAATACATGACACTTTTGTATCGATAGCAACTTCTTTGTCACGACGTTTCAGAGTTACCTCTTGCTCCTTCATCGGGCGAATGAGTATTATGTGCAACAAAATATTGCTCTTGCGTCACGTGCAATGCTTCAATTGAGGTGAGGTGAGGTGAAATGGGGTTTAACGTCGCGTCCATGATTATTACACTTATATAGCGACGTGCATGTACGTGTGTGTGGCTACTTGTACTATTCCGGACTGATGCCGATTTATAGTGCTAGCTCACTGAGATACCATGCCGCAGTTTAACATGAATACCCCACTCAGACACAGTTAACTGACGCCAAGCCGACCAGTCCTTGTTTTAGCCCCTTCATGGCGAGCGCAAGACAGAGTAACAACAAGTACCGTCTTTTGGTATGACGCGGCCGGGGTTCGAACCCCGGACCTTCCGCTCTCCGGGCGGACGCTCTACCACAAGACCACGGAGGCGGCCCTGCTTCAATTGAACCAACTGGACACAAGCTCTATACTGTTGTACCCGCATAACTCCTAACGTGATGTGATATACAGCGTGACCCTGGCGCGAGAGTGTGCAGCGTAGGAGTCGAGTGATTGCACGGGTAACGAGACACAATAACGTGCCAACAGTGTTCTCAGGTTCATGTTCCCAGAAGCATGTCAATCATTCACGGCTGTTGCTTTAAAAAATAAAATCATTATAATCAGATTTTAGTTCTCGCTATTGATTAACAAAGGTCTGAGGACATCCCATTACGGGTCACGTCAGAACGACCTTTCGTTAATCAATTCAGTACACACACATGACAATAATCGCAATAAATTGTTGTAGAATTTTTATTATTTTGAACAATATTTCAACAAATATATATTCTCAAACATAAATATAATGTATAAGAGATTAATTTTATCTAAAACACCAAGCAAGTCAGCAGTAACAAGAAATAACAAATAATCAGCCGGGATACGTGAACGATTGACAAAAATAATGGTTTAGTTTGAGAAAAATGCGTCTGTAAGTGTGTATTTTAGCTTAAAAAAGAAAAAGCGGGTTAACTTGTACTGTTCGAAATACTTACATTCCTGAGTAGTATAGATTGTATTGACATAATAAAATAAAGAACTTTGGTACCCTCTAGCTCAAAAGTTCGTACCCTTTTCATCATCACCATTTTTATTTGAAAAAAAGTTCAGATGATTTATCCTAAAATAATCTGCTCAGAATATTTCTCAAAACTGTTTCACCAACGGCTATTCCAACAGTAAACAGTTTCGCTTTTTATTTGAGTGAGTGTTTAGAGTTTTACGCCGCATTAACTATCCATCACGGGGAAATGGGCTTAGTATTCATGTGGGGAATTAAACTCGACCCTTCGAACTGACGAGCCAAGACTTCCCTGTAAGGACCTCAATCTGTGTATTTTAAAACACATCTGTTACAATGTCATGTGCGTATGTGCATTGGAATTGATTATGTTTTTATATATGCACAAACAAGCAAAAGGATGGATCAGGTGACCGCCAAGCCTTAAAAACAATCTTTAAATCAGAGCACTACTGTTTTCGTCATCTTAAAATATAATTAATTATCATTTTGAATCTAACACACACGCAATAGTTCCAAGGCACCAAATCTTACAATCAAAGTACGCTGAATGTTACAGTTCTCCACCATCAAGACAGGAGACCGTTACTCTCAATGGCATTCACATAAAAAAATCAGAATTAATGCAGTTACATTAACTTAATTAAACACCGTTTCGTCAGCATCTCAGTCATTTCGCACAAAACATAGAAAAATGCCTTATTATGAAAAAAACATATTTAAACCCTGATATGACCTCCACAGCAGAAATGTGAGATCACGAATTCGGCGACTGTAGCCATCCTCCGATTTGCCTTTAAATCCGTGACCAAAGTGAAAACAGTGGGGATCATAATATGCTGCATACTGGTGTCCCACGACCCTCACCTTGTGTGAGCCAGTCCAATGTAGGGGGAAGCAGGTGGCGAGGAGGCTCTTCATAAAACGTAGGAAAGTAGAGTCTGGATGATGAAGGACGAAGAGGGAGATAACTCTCAAATTACCATTTGTAGTCATGAATCATCGCTAACCCATTGGTATTGTGGAATCGTTAGCATGAAAAATCTTTCGAATTAACGAGTCATATGTATTGAGTTATGTTCATTCAGGTAAATATACATTGACTGCTAACAGTAATTGTCCAAAAGGTGGATAATGGACACAAGAGGTCCGAACCTACAAGTTTCAGACTTTATACACATCCTAAACTGTCAAGCTAAAGGAAGTATTTATCCCTGTTTGATGGTAGCTAAAAATGAAACACACATTTTTTATGGTAACGTATTTTATGCGGATACTATAGTTGTGTCTTGGACATTTAGTTTGCAGTGTTTCGGAGATTGTTTTCAGCCTGGTAACGTCATGTTAACGTTTGTATTGTTTTGGTCAAAATCAATTTTAACACGTCCCATTTTAATTCTGGAAACCCAAAAGTCCAGAAACTCTACGCTCTTTGCCCAGTCTCGGTTAAAGGTATTTACAAAATTAAACATGCCGTTTTTATGGGAACATACCAAGGAAGAAAAAATGAAAAAAAAATTGTTTAAAAACTCAATATTTAGACTATGTCGCCCATGGGCCTGCCCATGGGCGAAGTGTGGCCCATGGGCCTGCCCATGGGCGAAGTCTGGCCCATGGGTAGGCCCATGGGCAGGCCCATGGGCGAGAATATGTTCCTTTACTTAAAACTCATGTTTTTGTTTCGCAAATACATTTAATGTATTCATTCAAGTATCATGACTCAAAATTTAACTCATTTTAATTTAATTCAACTATTTTATAGCGATATTGAAATATTTCGCCCATGGGCGAGAAAAAGGTTTGGCCCATGGGCAGGCCCATGGGCGAGAATATGTTCCTTTACTTAAAACTCATGATTTTGTTTCGCGAATATATTAAATGTATTTATTGAAGTATCATGACACAAAATTTAACTCATTTTAACTTAATTCAACTATTTTATAGCGATATTGAAATATTTCGCCCATCGGCGAGAAAAAGGTTTGGCCCATGGGCGAGAATATGTTCCTTTACTTAAAACTCATGATTTTGTTTCGCAAATACATTAAATGTATTTATTGAAGTATCATGACACAAAATTTAACTCATTTTAACTTAATTCAACTATTTTATAGCGATATTGAAATATTTCGCCCATGGGCGAGAAAAAGGTTTGGCCCATGGGCAGGCCCATGGGTAGGCCCATGGGCAGGCCCATGGGCGAGAATATGTTCCTTTACTTAAAACTCATGATTTTGTTTCGCGAATATATTAAATGTATTTATTGAAGTATCATGACACAACATTTAACTCATTTTAACTTAATTCAACTATTTTATAGCGATATTGAAATATTTCGCCCATGGGCGAGAAAAAGGTTTGGCCCATGGGCGAGAATATGTTCCTTTACTTAAAACTCATGATTTTGTTTCGCAAATACATTAAATGTATTTATTGAAGTATCATGACACAAAATTTAACTCATTTTAACTTAATTCAACTATTTTACAGATTTATTGAAATATTTCGCCCATGGGCGAGAAAAGGTTTTGCCTTCGAAATCCTTGAATATTATATCATGCCAGAGTTCTGAAATTCAGTGACAATGTTGCTGAACAGTAGAATCTGATGGACGTATTGTGCAGAACCTGTTTGACACTATGGGTTCCAGGACCACTAACACTAAAAGTTTGGTCCTAACCGCACCCAACATCTTTAATGAACCCGGCCTTATCTCTCAAAACGTTTTGGCAGTTTATCATACGAATTCATGTGCGTGTACAACATTAAATTTTAGTTAGTTTCTATTTCATTTCCCATTTTATGACCCGTTGATACATCACACTGTGCAATTACGTGACAGGTACGCGTGCGCGTATTTTAATGGAAAGAAACTATTCGTCTTTTATTGCATAACGTTTGGCTGAATATCTTACGAAATCTCAAAATAATTATTTAATTACAAGCAGTGTCGAACTGACCAGTAGGAATTATGTTTCAATGCGATTGAGGAAAACGTGAGTGAATATTGTGACACTAAAGCAACTTTTAACTGCATTGTCACTTTTGGTATGAAAATGGTAACAGTTCAGAAAAAACAACAGCCTTCTTATGATAATTCTCATATTCTCATTAGGACGTTGTGTCTAATTACAGTGTCGGCCTTATTTACAGGTGATTCTACAACACTTGTTGTCGGTCAATTACAATCTGCCACACCACGCGTGAATAAACAGTTATGCAGGTGTTGCTGTGGGCAAATACCTAGCCTGTACATGTATATTTTTGTGGATACATGTATTACATTTTTTCGTTGATATGTGGATATATTAAGCACCAAGACACAAAAAGTTTATGAAAGATGAATTTGTGCCTTGATATATATATTCAACGCGAACGAAGCTTGTATTTTCTCCGCGATCCTGATGTGTATCATCGTTTAATTGGTCATTCATTAAAAGTATGTTGTGAGGCGATATCAAAGGAGCCGCTCAATATACACAGTGTCGTCCGTTTCGCGTGAACTTCCACCCTACCCTGTCAGTAAGAGTTATATAATCGGTACACAAATATATTTGGTGCGATGTCAGTGTGGAAGGAGTTTGAATTACGTCCGCCAGTGGCCACAGAAAGTATAGTACCAATCAACAAGGCCAATGCCGTACTAATAACCTAGTGACTCGCGTAACAACAACTGTCAATATGTCTGCTACATCTACCATACCATCATCCCTGTCACAACTGGCGTATTAACGGCTTATTCAAAATATTAATTGTAGAAATGTCGTTACCAGACTAACGTACGTCGTATTCAGTCCTCAACTGGATGTCACATTCCTTATATCAGTTAACAGCCCTGTTTGTGAAAATATTTACTAGACATAAGATTTAAAGACTAATAAAATCAATTGTAAGACCGCATAGACCATAAAACCGAATAAAATATGTCTTGGTATCATCTCTTGTGTATTAGATGATGGCAATGACCGGAAATGTTATAACGTTAGATTAAGAAGGAGAAACATTAAAGTGTTTTACAATACTTGGAAACATGAGCAATAAGATGCACGGAATACGGAAAAAGGATGAAAACAAATTGAAAAGGATTTTAATACAAAATTATCGAACTAAATAACTTGCCTGAACAGAAGGGGTACCCAAACTTGTTTGACAGTTATTCGTGTGTTGTAGACTGTCGAATGGGACTCATGTGTGTACGTAGGGTACGCATATCTATTGCAAGTTTTAGTACTCATACACTTTCTCTTTTTGTGTTTTGTTTGTTTGTTAGTTGTATAACGCCACACTTAGCAATATTTCAGCTGTATGACGGCGGTCTGTAAATAATCGAGTCTGGACCAGACAATCCAGTGATTGACATCATGTGCATCGATCCACGCAATTGGGATACGATGACATGCATCAACCAAGTCAGCGAGCCTGACCACCCGATCCCGGTTGTCGCTTCTTACGACAAGCGCTGTCGCCCTTTTACGCCAAGAATGGTTTGTTGGAGATCCTCACGGGTCTATTGAATGCAGGGATTTGTGTAAAGTCATCAGACAGCATACAATGCCAACTAAAAAATTATACTCAGTGTCTCCGCAAAGTAATAAAGTACGGTACTTAGAGTACATGTGAGATTATACTCAGATTAGGGAGATGTTTAATCCATATAACGTGTTATTATTCTACCTAACAATGTATTTAATGAAATGAATGCAAAACAAACTCAACGGCTAAAAGGTTTCATTGAAAAAACTACCCCTAGTCTTGACTAATAAAACAACTGCAACCCGACACAGATTAAACGCAACTTACAAACACAATCTGGTTAGTCTGTATCACTCAACGAGGCCGCTTACTCTGCCCACAGTATGACAGTATTGGCCAGTTCAGTAATTAGGAGCCAAAACCAGGCAGGTACGCTGGTCACACTTGACTGGTCTGACTGATGATTAGGTCGTCTGACAATTGGGAGTGAACCATAGCAAGAGGTATCTGCGAAACTATTTGCTCCTTTTATGGGACCGATTAGTTTTATGACCATGGGCCTCGGCACAAGCGTGGTGTTGGAAGACAAGTTTTACATGTACATCCGATATGGTGACTGTTTTTCGCTATTCATATTCTAAATACATTCATAATACCACAACATTTTAGTACTCCTTGAAACTTTACAATCACTTCAATATGGACAATAGATTGAACGAGAACACTTGATATATTGCAGATTATTAAATCATTGTCTCTATTATCAGCCGCTACGTTTGTATCGTTTGCATTGTACAAAGAAATATTTTATCTGTCGTTTTGCAGATTTAGCCTCAGAATGTGCTCATTCGAATTAGGAACGAAAATAATTGCTTATCATGAGTATATATGATACAGTTAAAAGTTACTTGTACACTGTAGACGTATTCACTTTAAAGTCGCATACGACCTTCGCGAGCGAGTTGAATGATCCAGGTTAATTGGAACGAAGTCTAGAAAGGGTTATAAAGTTTTGTATTTGGTAATGTGTAGGTTTGTTAAATATAATTTTTTAAATTCCTTTTATTTCAATATGTAAAAACATAACTATGCGCTTAAAAACAGAGCTGACTTGATGGGAGATAGCCACCTCAGATTGTCTGTTGGACACGGTTTAACCTTACTGTGTCCTCACCCGGGTTGTTGTTACCGTTGTTATAAGGGATTAAGAGCTACGGCTCATTGCATTTTTGGTTACAGTCTGTATCACTAAAGTGGACATGTGCAGGTGAACTCTGTTCAATTAGTATATGAAATGCCCCAAAATGTGAACTCCAGACAATAATAACCTGAGGGTAAATCCACGTGCGTCTGCCTTTCCCCTCGTTCACCTTCGAAATCCTTGATTATTATATCATGCCAGAGTTCTGAAATTCAGTGACAATGTTGCTGAACAGTAGAATCTGATGGACGTTTTGTGCAGAACCTG